GTATCGTTCAGGAACCGGTATCGAAGTGAAGGTATCAGTATTGGTACCGGAACCAAAAATTTTTGAACAATACCCAGCCCTATCCTTTACACAAAATCTGCAAAAATGTAAGAAGAATACCAGGCAGAAATGAAAGGAAATATGAAAATTGATTTCTTTTGAGATCAATAATGAGATGCATCCCTCAGCTTTCAGCAGATGACATGAAAAAAATATTTAAATATGTGTGGTCAAAGGTAGAGAGCTAAACTGTTGTTCAGTGTCAACAGCTGCAACCAGTTCAAACCAAAAGTTAATTATTCCAACATTTAATCCGTATGTTGACTAAAATTCTGCAGAATTTATTGAAATTGATGAAAGCATTGTATTAAATAATCCTCTGTCTCAGTCACCCATAGTGTCACCCAGGTTGCAGCTGATTCATGCAGCTGAAAGCACTGATTAAAACAGAAAAATAAAGTTAGTGAGAACTAACAGAAAGTAATAAAGTTAGTGAGGAAACTGCAGTAACAAAATAAAAATATCCTACTTGTATTTAGGCAGGAGACGGTTGCTCAACAGTTTGACTTTGGTTCCCCTTTGTGTATCTGCAAATCTGCAAACCTAACTGGAGCTTTCTCTGTCACTGCAGGATTAAGGAGACAGATGCTGCCAAGCTGAGGGAGGAGTACAGACGATTGGTGGAGGGTCTGAAGGAAGCCAATGTTGCCAGGGAGACCGACATCTATCTGGCAAACCCAGTTTTACCTGACGAGATCCTGCAAGGTGCTTAAAACGTGCAACTGTCTTTCAGTTTTATGTTTTCTCTCTTCTTTTTAGCGGTGCTTTTATAAATGCAGATGTCTTTCCTACTAATAACTCAAATAGACCTCCTGCCCTCCTCATGTAGGGGCAGAAAGATGACTCTTTAGCTGCAACTTTCTTTTGCAAATCGGTTGCATTCAGAAATGGAGATTCAGATTTAAAAAGAGAAGCTATAAATAGATAACATGCCTCAATAAACAAGCATTTTAAAAATGAAAGGAAACATGTTGCATATTTAAAAATAATTTCAAATGGCAAAAACAAACTAAATCCAAGTATGTATTCTGTTATGCAGAACATTAGACAATATATTTATTTTTACTAATCAATTAATTTGCTTGCTATATTTGGATTGAGAGATTAATCATCAGAGTTGATAGGAGATTGTTTACATAACTTAATCTGCTAAGGCTAAAATTATTCCACTGATGAGGGTTCTGGATGGAGCAGATCTGGAGAAAAAGGTTCTTAAAATGTAAAATCTGTATTGTTCCCTTTTGGTTTAATTGTTGCTCTTGGTTGGATGTTTTGTTTTAGAGTCCATATAACATTTATTGTTGGTAATTTATTATGTATAATCTTTTTCTTTTTTCTTCAGTCCTTAAAGATACAAGAATGTCAATTTTTAATTTGAGAAAAAAATCCCTCCTAACAGTCCAACTCTGCCACCTACTGGTATGAACTAGTAGCTGCAGTGTAAACTGAAAAAATGAACAATTAAAGCTACAGTGTGTAATAATTACAGGGATATACAGTCAGAAATGTAATATATTATACATAACTATGTT